AAAAAAAAAAAAAAAGAAAAACACAAAAATATGAAGCTTATTTTCTTTTATAAAGGCACTTGTTTGCTGGCATAAGAAAAACATCAAGGCTATTAAATAGGCAGGTGAGAAATAAGTGGTAAACTAATTCATAGAAAAATGCTATAATAAAAGATATGAAATATTTAAGCAACCTTGAGATTATTCCATGTTTTTTTTTTTTTAAGGAAACTACCACCAAATACTAGTGAGGCTACAGAGAAATTAGTATACTCATTCATTTCTACTGAGCATCTAAATTGGTATAATCTTTAAAAATGAAGAAAGCAATATACAAGGAGACTCAGAGGTATTTGTTACACTGTGACATAACAATTCTACTCCTAGGAATTCAATCTAAGGAAATAATGCAACAGAAGCAAAATAACACCAAGCTGAAAAAAATCTCTGCAGATTTATCTGTTATAGTAAAATTTAAAAACAATAAAACATCACAATACTTGCACAAAGGTACGTCAATAGAATAGAATATGGTACAGTAATTTAAACAGATAATGAAGAGTATCTAGAAATAAGGACCAAGACTTATGATAATTCAGGAATAAACTAATGATACGCTCGATGGTGGATTTAAATTATGCTACCAAACTTGCCTCTTCCAATGAATCTGAGGAGCAACGCCAAGTTCCTATCTCCACCTTCCCCTACATACACCTTCCAGAAATCTATTGGTAAATCAACAAAATCCTGAGTATTCTCATTAATAATCCTAAATCTGCAGAAAAGAAAACTGAATTTTCTTACATTCTCTGTCCTCAAATAGGGGATACTATTTTGAAGGAGTTGCTGAAGAAACCCAAGACAGATGCAGAAAAGTGAACAAGTAGGCTCTAACTTACTAAAATAAATATTCTAAAGGCCACAAAGCAAACAGGTCATTTTCAGCAATATATCACTTTCCCCAAACTTCTGGGCAAATAAAATATACCACCCAGCTAGGTATACTTACCTAGCACTGAAGTCTTTTAACAAACACAATATCTGACCCCTATTACCTCCCAGTTTCTTTTCCAACAATAACACCTACCTAGGCACCAAAAACACAGTTATTGAATGAGGTTACACTAAAGGAGGTATAAATATGGAAAATATTAGAGATCTGTAATGAATTTTTAAAAGCTCCACTCTCTTAGAAATACAAGATAAAATGCTAAAAGCATTTTTCCAAATAAAAGTATAGCTGAGTTGGAGAAACTAGAGCTCTGAGTCTCTGCAAAGTAGAGCGGCCCTATCATAAGCCAGGTGGACCATTTTAAAAACACATCTCATGATAAACAGCAAAAACAGGGGAATTTATCGCTATCAGCCTAGTCCCCTTGGTAGAGAAAAATAGGGGCAGAATCTCTTCCCTGACATTATGTGACTGAAAGCCTGCCTTCACAGGAGTTTAGATTTCAAACGCCTGCTATCAGGCTGGGCACAGTGGCTCATACCTATGATTCTAGCACTCTGGGAGGCATAGGTGGGTAGGTCGCTTCAGCTCAGGAATTCAAGACCAGCCTGAGCAAGAACAAGACCCCATCTCTGAAAACAGCCAGGTGTTGTGGCAGGTGCCTATAGTCTCAGCTACTCTGGAGGCCAAGGCAAGAGGATGGCTTGAGCCCAAGAGTTTGAGGTTGCTGTGAGCTATGACGCCAAGGCACTCTACCAAGGGCAACAAAGTGAGAGTCTGTCTCAAAAATAAAAAATCACGCTTGGTGCCGGTAGCACAGTGGTTAAGGCGTCAGACACATACACTTGAGGGTGGCGGGTTCAAACCCAACCAAGGCCAGCTAAGCAACAATGACAACTGCAACAAAAAAATAGTCAGGCATTGGGGTGGACACCTGTGGTTCCAGCTACTTGGGAGGCTGAGGCAAGAGACTCACTTGGGCCCAAGAGTTTGAGGTTGCTGTGAGCTGTGGTGTCATAGCACTCTACTGGGAGCAACATGGTGGGACCTATTCTGTCTCAAAAAAACCAAAAATCAAATGTTTACCACCGTATTTGTGCTGGCAATCACAGAAGCTGCTGATTATTGGCTATTTCTATGATTCCCTCCTTTCCACTGTGACAGGACTGATAATTTTTAGCAGGGCATGTAACTACTCAGAAGAAAGACTATGCTTCCCAGCTTGCACTGCAGCTAGGTGTGGGCATACGAATAAATTCTGGCCCATAGAAATGAAGTGTACCATTGCGAGAATGCATCTTCCTTCTCCCTTTGTCTTTTTTTTTTTTT